CACACACACACACACACACACACACACACACACACACACACACACACGGGGTTGGTGGACAGTGGGGCCTGGACACTGGGATGACGGCCGGTAAAGATGAGATGTGACACCGTGTGTCCTAGTTTCCATTGCTCCCAGTTTAGAGACCGACAGAGAGAACCAGTGAGATAACGAGGTCCTGTCAGAGTGTACGGCTGAATCTGATCAAAGGCTCGCCAACATAAATAATCTAATCCATTTAGAAATGCTGCGTGGAGCCCAGAATCCACTCCAGGAGATACAACCTCCATCTTTTAAAACATGGCGTTGTTTCCCAGAAATGAGCTTGTTTTCTCTCAATCTTTACAACGAGCCTGAGAGGAGAAGAACTCTACGTGTCGATCCACTGTGGATGGTCCTCGGCCACCTGGATCAGCTTGGATCACACGAGGCTACGTTGCCTCAAAAAAACCTCAAATTCAAAAGCATTTGTAGCTGTAATGTTTCCCTTTTCATCCTTATTATGTCATCGCTTTCCTCAACAGCTGCAGAGGGAGCAGAGCCACAGTTATGGAGGTGTGTGTGTGTGTGTGTGTGTGTGTGTGTGCACAAAAAAATCACAAGCTCCAAAAGCTGAATGTGATGACTTCCAATTTCATGATTTTGTTCCAGCAGTATTCAAGAGAGAATCTCTCAACCAAGACTCGGGGGGTTTGATGATCTATAAAGAGTGTTTAAGGAAGCCGTCACATCTGGAAGCATCCACTCTACTGAAGTGCCTCTGAGCAAGGCACCGACCGGCTGCAATTAATGATAAAAAAAAAACAAAGAAAACAAACATATAAAGATGCCAACTAACGTATCTGCATCTTTAAAGTCCCCATGTGTACATATCTTACAGCATCTTTCATGTTATTCTGATGGCAGCGAGTTCTAATGTGATTGTTTTTGTGTTTCTTTCAAATAAGTCTCACACTGCGGCATTAAGAGAATTAGTTTTGGCTTCACACAAAGCACCGACGGACACAAAGAGGAAACGCACACAGCAGCAGCAGCAGCGGCGGCGGTGTCATTGTGCCGTGTAACACCCACGCCGACGCGTCGTCAATAGACCGGCCTCGCTTGCACTTTGCATCATCCCACCGAGAGTGAGACAACAAAAGCCGACGCAGTTCAGAGCAGCGAGGTCAGACGACCAGGTGGAGGAGAGACGGTGCACGGCCTGGCAACGTTCCCAGCAGCAACAGACACGCTGGGTTAGAAAATATACATTTCCTGACAGCAATGACGCCGAGTGGTTTCCACCTTCCTGTCTGTACCTGAAGGGAGGTGATGCAGAAGTAACTGTATGATGAATGGACCCGGGCAGTGCTGCCAGCAGCAGATACAAAGAAATAGAAATAGTGATAGAGTTCATGCAGCTGGAATACCAGCAGGAAGATGCAAGCGAGTAAATCACAGAACGTTGGTTTTAAAAGGAACAGTGTGCAGCATTTTGGGGGATCTATTAACAGAAATGTAATATATTATTCGTGAGTATCATTGTGTTTTCTTTAGTGTAGAATGAGCCCTTCGTATCTATTTAGGGAGCAGGTCCTCTGCATTGTTGCACCGCCATGTTTCTACGGTAGCCCAGAATGGTCAAACCAAACAAACCCCGGCTGCTAACGTGCTAACACAATGTAGCATTGGGCAGGATGCACGGATTGGGTAGCGAGCAGCGTAACACACGCAATAAGAACACAACATACTCATAATAAAACACGTTTGATCACATCTTTTGTCCCGCCTCTACTGCACTGTGATTGGGCAGCTGGGTGAAAAGGAACAGTGACGAGCGCAGCTATCATTTCTACCTAAATAATTAAAAAACAGAGAAGTAGACATGCCAGCTAACATATCTGCATCTTTAAAGTCACTACGTGTATATTGTTACAGCATCTTTCATGCTATTCTGACGGCAGACGAGTTCTATTTGTAGAACAATACGATAATGCTAATGGGAATTGGTGAAGTCTATGTGTTGTTTACGGTCCAATCAACTCAGTAGAGCAGAAAACACACTGCATGGAAGCCTCGTGACAGACGGATCCTATTCAATGTGTCGGATGGTTCCTCACACGATGAATAACCCGGGGAGTGGATCTCTTAAGTGGCCACATCACAGAGTCTGAGTGCACCCTGAAGAGGCTGAGTGCGTATCTTTAGAGTTGATTCAAAGCATTAGAACGAGACGCTCCGAACATGTGTCCGGAAAAAAGGAAGGCAGACATCTGTTTGGATGATACAATCAGAATCCCCACTTCCTGTCACCTGGAACCGTTTAGAAAGCCACCAGATGTGGTTCAAAGAGGAGGCCGGAGAACAGAACACGCTCCTCCGCGCATCTGGAAAACATATATATATATATATATGCATAATGTGCCTTCTACCCAGGGACGCAGCACGGATGACTCCTGAAATACAGATCACTGTGAACACACAGCGCTCGCCTCTGGAATGCTAATCATCCTCAGAGCTTCAGCAGAGGAGCCGGCTCAGAATGAACCTGCAGCTCTTTAAACCTCCAGCAAAGGAAAGAAGAAGAAGAAGAAGAAACATACGGAGCAGGGCGTCCATTTCTCAAATTATAATTTTATGATATTTTATGTATTTACTCCCCGAAACCTCTCCGATAAAACCACCGAAGTACCTCGATATTCCATCAACCTCACAGTAGAACATAACATATTATTCACGGGGATTTTTACTCCTAAATTTTGAGGTATTTACAATCACAATCACGCAATTTTTCCCCAAGGCAGTATGTTGTGTTTCAAAAGGTACATATTTATATCAATATAAATACATTTCACAAAGTAAATAATTAATCATCACAAAGAATGGCTGCATATTTCAGGATATAACTTTGTTTTCTAGAGTTAGATGTAAAGATAGATACCGCCCATAAGCCAGGGCCATTAGCTTAGCTTAGCATAAAGACTGGACGTAGAGGGAAACCACTAGCCTTAGTTGGCTCCGCCCACCAGCACCCCTCTACATTTTGCATAATTATCGTGTTTGTTGAATTTGTAAAACACAAAAAGAAATATAAAACCAGCTTTAGTGTCATATTCACCACGGGAGAGAAAACAATCTTCTCATCTAACTTTGGTAAGAAGATTAACAAACATGTTCCCCTAAATGAATTAAGAAACATAAGTTACTGTTACTGTGCGAGTAGTTATGCACCGTATGCTTATTTAGCACCGAGCCTTCTTCGCCCTCCTTCCTCGATTCGCTTACGTAAGGAATCAGAGCAAGCTAGCCTGAGCGCCGTCTCTTATGAATACAACTCTGTACTGTAACACACACACACACACACACAGACACACACACACACACACACACGAAACCTATTATCTAATCACCATTGTAGACGTGAAAGGACACAGTTGCTGTTTAGTGGTCATCTTTGGTGGTTAAAAAGCTGTTTAAATTCGCAGGGCCGTCACATTTACATCCCAGTTTATTTTATTATAACATTAAAGTGCTAGATTCTTCTTGTGGCTTTATGTTTAAGTACAGAGGTTAGCGAGCTTTGCTAATTCCACCGTGCTTTAATGCTACACTGTGCTGCGGGGTCTGATGGCCAGCGGCACCACTTGGTCTAACAGTCCCTTGGCCTCACTCCAACATTGCCATCGACATTTTCAGTGCCCTGCTCATGGGCGCTTCTGCAGGGCAGTCACCCGATTATAAGAACCTGCTCTGCAAGTATCCAACAAACGATTTTTGCTCCATTTAAACCCTAAAGCTGTCTAAATATGTCAACAAAATATGGAAATACTTCAACAGTTAATCTGGAAACAGAGAGATGTTTTAGGGAAATTTAGTAGCGTTGGACTGCTGATAATTAATTAATTTAGTCTTCAAAATGGCAGAATATCTTGGACCCAAACATCTTGAAATTGCAACTGTAGCTTCTTGCAATATCGTGTTAACAAAGAGATTGAAACAGTGTCTCCCTCCTCTACATCTGCTCATTGCAGCTCCTGTAAATCATCATGTAGTATCATAATTGGCACAAATGCCCGAGGTTACATGACTTCCGATTCCAGCAGGAATCAACAAGCAGAGAGGTAAGCAACAGGAGGCAACACGGAGCGCAGCAACAGCAGAACGAGATGGGTAAAAGCAAAATGCCCTACTGTATCCATTCAACATGCATTTAAAAAACATCATGCATTTGATTGCAATGCATTCTGAATATCCTCAAATATAGATACCGACAGGGATTTCTAACAGGGAACAGGGTGCAGGTACAAACATTTCAGGCTATTTCTTATGATTATCGCGACATCAAATCTATTTCAGCGGTAGACAGACAGACAGACTAATCCTCCACACACCTCCCCGTATAAGCCCCCGCTGCTCTGTTTCCAAGTCGACACCCAGCACGCGACACATTCAGCCACACTGGTGACATTTTGTTGCAGGAGACGCACCTGACGCGCGCGTCTGGGAACGACGCTTCACGCGTTAAAATGGAGCTAAAAGAGCTTCAAGCCTGCAGAGCAATGGAGGCCAATTAGTAAGCATGCATCATCTCTCTCTCTCTCTCTCTCTCTCTCTCTCTCTATTCGTGTTTTCTGCGTGTGTGCGCGCAATGTAATAACAATAACAAACGCGCCCTCCCTCCACGTACGCGCTCCCACAGGAGGCATGTTTCCACACCATCGCTGTCACGTGCAAAGCAGATTTTAAAAATCCAATTAGATTTACCTGGCTGCGGTCTTCTTCTTCTTCTTCTTCTTCTTCTCTCGCTTATTTAAATGGTTCTCTCCGTTGATCTGCATTTCATTTCAGGTCGCACATCTTCGCAGCTCGATGGATGGATGGAGAGAGAGGTGGAGGAAGAGGAGGTGGAGGAAGAGGAGGAAGAGGAAGCCTTTGAAGTGAGGAAAATCTGGGTCCCTTGCTCGCGACCCAGCTGCGTGGACTGGATTTATGTCGTTTCCAAGGCAGCGTCCGTCGACCTGACGAGCATCAAGCGGGCAGCATGCAGCAAAGAAGCACAACTTCCGATTTGCGTTTCAAAATAAAAGTCTACATTAAAGTTACCTAACAAGTGGCAAACAATCAGAAATGGGAACACGTTCTTCAAACCAGATGGTTGAAACATTACATACAAGTTTGTTCGGTCTGTTCGGTTGTTTTTATCCTTAGTATGTCTCATGAATTGTGTAGTCATTGTATGTATTTATTCTGTCTGTATGTATAATATTTTAGTAATTGTGGATTTTTTACTTTTTTAATATTCTTTACGGTTTTATCACTTATTTATAATACTATGTCTCTTGTTTGCACTATATATATGCTGCTGTAATCCTGTAAATGTTCCCGCTGTGGGATTATATCATTTTATCTTATTTTAAAAGCATAACCAAGGATGATAGGTAGATTATCTTCAGCTACATGGTCATACGTGTGTATATATATATATATATATATATATATATATATACACACATTATATATATTATCATTATTGTCTCTGCCAAATTAACACACACCAGAAATATAATTTTTATATAAATACATTTAATCTATAATAAGATGTCCCTCCTCCACCATGGCCTAAATCGTACTCTTTGTGCACTACAATAAAGCATCTGTATTTATATTTTAAACAAGTAAAACTAAGAATCGTTTAATTAAATTTGTAGAATAAACTGTTGAAAGTTCGACTTACATACTTGCATTTATGGTTAAATATGCAGCTGACTTAAGCCTATATTTCAATGTTGTGTTTTGGTTTAATTGCAAATAATACACACCCAGGTGACAGTTTACCAGGTGCAATTAATTAAGCATGTGATCGTCCATTAAATAGGGAGACTATGACAATAATTAACGGTTCAATTACTAACTTAAATAGACAAATAACGGACTATAAGTTTATACAAAACTTAACTAACTTAATTTCTCACCTTTTGCAGGTAAATGTTTGTTTCTTTCAGGCGACATTTTGGACGAAATGAGGTGTGAACATATTTGTTTGTAGCTCACATACCGCTACTACAGGGACTATTCTCATAATAATCACATTACTGACATTGTGCACGTAAATACTGAAGCACAATTGTTTAATAGTGAGATAATAATTCAGTTTGGACTTTATGTTGAACGTCAAACAGCTTAACCGTTGGTGTTTCTGGTGGTACCTCGCGTTAGCTTGACGCCGCTCAAACGAACCAGCGAGATGCAGCAAATCGGTGAAATCGCGCATGAGCGGCCGAAACCAGGCGACTATTTCCGGAGATAGCCGAGGCCACCGCCCACTCCACCGAGCAGCATGTGCGCGCAGGCGGAGGCTTTTGAGACGCTGCCAGCCTGTAGTGATGCGGCTGTTACGTGTAAAACGTGTGTGTGGATAAGAAGCTCATTTCACTTTAATTATTAAACGAAAAAATAACATTATCTGCAGATAAACAAGCTCATTTCACTGACGTCATCCGACCCTTTATGATTATATGTTAAATAGACACGATAACGCGATGAAACAAGGTTTTCTCCTTTATATATGGACACATTAAATATAGTGTGTGATCTTAAAGGTGCATTTAAAAACATTCTCAGAATCTATTTTGAATAAACTCTATGATTAAGAAATGTCAAACCATGAATAACATTGCACTAGAAGAGACATATTGCAAATATGTCGACATAAACGCAATACTCACTTTTCTGAAGTATTGCAGCTGCATCATTTTCTTTGCATTACCAACATGCATCTCTAATTTAAAGAAAGTCTAGCCTACGGACTAGTTTACAGTAAATACAGTGGTTTATGACTCGGATCTAGGCCCATCTTTCACACCTATTTACCCTAACATCCCCACAACATATCAACAAGGTGTTAGTCTATAAACATATCGGGGATAATTATTATTTTAGTAAGACCAGTGCTGTGCAGAAACCATAGTTTACCTCCTGCTGTTTCCCAGATCCACCACTCAGCGGCGCTGTTGCCTCGTGTTTGAAACGTTGAAATCTCCTCCGTCGCTGTCCGTGGTGCTGATTTGAGTGACGCCGCTGCAAACAAGAGACTTGGAAAGAAACGCTTTGCTTTTAAAATCTAAGCTTGCATAGAAAGGCAGGAAGAACAACAGACGAAGTAGTGCAAGAAACGGTCACGCTGTGTTTCTTGTTATCTGCAGTGCATTGTGGGACTTCTCCAGGAGGCTGTGTGGCAGTTTACAGATGGTTGTGTGTGTGATTTTTTGTTTACTGTTGTGCCTCATTGTGGGACTGAATGATGAATAAAGGCAAGACTTCACTGCACAGTAGAAGTACAAGCATAGGTTTTGTGTAGAGTATTAGATACCCAAATCACAGCACAGATGTCAACTGAAGAAATACCTCTTAACTGTATGTCATGACACAAAAAAGTAACAGTAGTACATTTGACAGTAACTTTTTGGGGGTGAAGGCCTTTTAATCATTCACCTTTGAAAAGCTGGACATTCAAATCCTTGGTACTACGAGGAACTTTCATGTAGTGTTGGTTCTGTTGGTCCCTGTGGACTAAAGTGGTAGTGTCTCTGAGCACCAGACTCTCTTTAGAAAACCTCTCATGTTACTGCAGCAGGGTCTGACAGTCTGCCCCTCTCAGTCCTGGTTCTGGTTCTCCCGTGCCTCCCTTCCCTCCAGCAGGTCCAGCAATACGTCCTGGGTCTCCAGCAGCGTGGTGTCGGTGTTGTCTCCCAGAGAGGAGGAGGAGGAGGAGGAGGAGGAGGAGGAGGAAGAGGAGACGCTGCTGCTGCTGCTGCTGGGAGCTGAGCTCTCCTCCTCCCTCCGGAGCTCCGACTGCAGGTCGAAGGCTGGAGGTGAAGCTGGATCTGGGTCCGTCCACGGTGGACCGGTCTCTGCTGGAGGATCTGGGTCTGTCCACAGTGGACCGGTCTCTGCTGGAGTCTGAGCTGAAGGAGTTTCTGGTGAAGCTGCATGATGTCATCTGATTTCACCAGAATCCGACCCTGTGGCTCCGATGACGAGCTTTAAGAATAACTCTATAGAAACAGACCATCGTTTGTTGTTTTTTATAGTAAGTTCAGAAAGACAGTTTGAGACTTCAGCAAGAAAAGGTTTATAGCAAAAAAATAATAAAAATATCTGTTTTTAATGTACAAATAAGACAGTTGTCCACACATTAGAATAATATTTTAATAAATAAATAGCAGCATCACACAGAAAAAAAAAATACATTGTGTGGATGACGGCATAATCATTGTATAAACTCAAAATGACAAACATTCACAATTAAAATGGTATAAAAAAAACAAAAAAACAAACAGCCACTGCATAACAGAAGAGGGTTCAACACACAGAAAGAGAGCTAACCCACGAGCGCCGGATCAGACAAGAGCGAGACAAACCGGACAGACCGGCCTGCAGACGAGCAGAGAAGGGGTTCCGACACCTTCCGGGGGCGTTCAAGAGTTCAGACGTTTGACGAAGAAGAAGTCGGGTTTGCCAAACTCTTGAACAACCTGCAGCTCAGGCTAGTCTCCGAGCCGTGTAGTGACAGAGTGGAGTGTTTGTTGATTTAAAGTTTTAGTTTAACTTTGGAAAGAGCCCGGCTAGCTGCTCCCCCTGTATCCAGTGTGATGCTAAGCTAGGCTAACTGTCGGCTGGCTCCAGATTCATTCAACTATCACACAAATAAGGTAATCAGGCAGCTCAGCCTCTTTTTAACTATGCGCCAAAACTATGGAATTTTCTACCCAAGGCTTTAAGAAATGCATTTTTAAAACGACAATATTAAAATGTATTTATTCAGCGTTGCCTTTAACTAACTGCCCCTCTTCCTTTGTTTCAAACTTCTACACGTTCTATTATTACTCCCTTTATTTTATTGCTTGGTTTTTATCGTGCAGTATTTGCATGTTTCATTCTGTTTTTATTCACTATCTTGTTCCTTCACTTTGTTACTCCCCCCCCCCTCCTCCCGTATGGAAGGTGCTACATAAATAAAGTTTATTATTGTTATCATTATTTCCCTTTAAGCTTGTGCATGAAACATCTCCCTCATAGAGTTAGAACATTTTCAAATACACTGTAATCATTTCATGAAGCAGCTCTTGCACAAAAGAAGAAGAAGAAGGGAATAAAAGCCCAAATCAGAGCTCCTCAAACGTATTAATACGAAACTCTGTCAATAGACGGCTCCGACTATTTCTATACACACCAGACCCGGATCGAATTACCGGCTGAAATCCCTCCAGATACTTTCTCAGAGTGATTTCTTTCACCTTTTCTGGGACCGCGAGCCGGACAGGATTGGCATCTGCAGCGACGACCCCGATTCAATCCATCGAGCCAGACACGATCGATTAAAAAAACCTCAGAAATCACTCTCAGAGAGCAATTTGAGCCGGGCCTGGGACACACAGGGGTACACGGGGAACACAGTTATCACATTGAGACGTACTGAGTCAGCTGGCCTCACACCTGGATGGATCAAACTCCACCCACTCTTCTCTATTCTGTTCATCCTTCTCTTGTTTGTGTTGGTATTGTTGGTATTTTGAAGGAGATGAAAATGCCCGCGGGAATCGCAAGCTCTTCGCAATGTGCGTTTTGTTGTCGATTGCTTCTTTCTTCCCTTCCTGCGCTTTATTCAGTATTAAAGACAGAACAAAAATAAATAAAATGAAACTTGAGTGAGGCAGAGAGGTCCTTTTGAACATCACTTCAAACATGCACGGTATTTGCAGGCCAGACGTTAGCTCATGTAGACCTCGTGGAGAGGAACGTGGTGCGACTGACCACCTGTGTTCGTCTGCAGCACACAAATGGTGGAGAAATGACACAGAGACGCACAGAATAGAATGACGTTTCATTCTAATTGTATGCAGAGGTGACTGCAAAAAACCTCCGGCTCTGGATTCAATCGGTCCACTGCAGGCTTTGATCTTTGCTCTTTGACCATGGAGAGGGGGATTATGGGTAAAAAACAAAAAAAAGGGGGGGGGGGGGGGGTTTACATTCAGGTTTTTGTAATTTTGGCTGTCCTATGGCTGAAGGGAGTTTTACCAAAAGGAAATATTGATCACTGGGGAAAGTGACATCTACTTTGATAAGGTGAACAGTGTTAATCAATATCTTTTTGCATTTAAAGGGGCACACCACATATTAAGTATTACACTTTCATAAGATTAAGGGACTAACATGAGACAGTTTAAACAAAGATTGGTCAGAATTGAAGCAGCTCAGGCTGAGATATCCTGACTTTGAGTCTCAATCTCTGAAACACTACAATTCCCATAATGCACCTCAACCGTCCGCCTGCTAAATGCTCACATCTATCAAACTTCAGATCTCCAGCTTTAAAAAAGCCCCGCTGATATGACCCGGGTTCTAGATGAAACCCTTGGAATTAAAAGGGGGTCACAGTAGAACCCTGTGTGGGTTCTTGTTGGCACCCTTAGAACGTGGAAAGTTTTGTCTGGAACCATTACACCATAAAAGTTCTCTGTAGAACCTCTCACATGGGGCTCTGGGTAGAACTTTTCCAAGTGGTTCCAGGTAGAACTCTTTGTGTTGAGTTCTCGGTAGAATCCTGCCGAAAGCTTTTCTGGTGGAACCTTTACAAAAGGTTTTACCAGGAACTCCTATGAGGACAAGCTGAAGAACCCAATATGGTTCTAGTTAGTACCTTTATTTGTGAGAGTGAAGAACATCAACAGGGCTATTTTTCTGTAGAACTTTGGAGAGCTCCTCCGGAGACACAGAAGACGTTGGATAAATAAACGGAGTGCCCCTTTAAGTGATCTCTTAAAACGCTGCTTTTCTCAACGGACTTCCTTTACAACACAACCATTCAGCTCTATTGAACTAAGCCTACGATCACCGTACGCATACGAGTTACAGCTTTATATCTCCTATATTATCTCTTGTTGCTAAGAAATCTAAATTTGCCACCTTTTTAAAAACCCCACACAATATATTGCAATATATATTGAGTAAACGTCCACGGCGGTACGCTGCAGATGTTTTCAGCTGATGGAGATGCAGAGTGAAGGAATCACGCGTCGGATGTCGATATACGATGTGAGAGGAGGGAGGTTCGAGGACCAGAGTCAGAGGTCCGTCTCTTATTGACTTTCTGTCTGTTTTATGCAACGGATTAAATCTGAAGCTGTTTTGAGTCACACTCGGGTCGGAGATCGGAGAGTTTGGACGATCAAAACTGTAATTCTTGGAGATTTTGGCCATCTTTTAATCCTAAAAACCCTTCATCACAGCATACATATAACACCAGGGCTCTGACGGAGCTTATTTAAACGGCCCAGATGACGTGAATACTCTGATTACATGATATGTATATTAAGTAGGCGGCGGACTGTTGGCTCGACGTGTAGGACAACGCCCAACGTGTATCGTTAGATATTGGGAAACACGGGGATATTGGGAATTCATGTGATTCTGGAAACAATAAAGGCGAGTGTGATTTGATCACAGCTGAGGAAGATCTTGGAAAGTGAGTTTCATATATTATTGTTTGACTGAATTGATGACAGTAATGACGGTGAGCCGAGGCTGATGTCATGAAATCTTTATATCTTGTTCTTTTTATAGAATGACATCTGAGGAAGCTTTGTGCACCTTTAAATTAAAACCTTTTTTCACTTGTTTTTGTTTAGATTGCTCCGTTATATGTTCTTCATTATTGTCAGTCGAAACCTCGAGAAGTTGGCACTTTCGATTCTTTACAAAGGGGTTGTATTGGTCATCAGAAGCAAGAGCCTGACAGCTGGGTTGGACCGGAGGCCTGCGCCATGTTTTCTTTTTAGCTCTTTTTATCCCCTTGTTCAAAGGGAGGTGACGACCACCAGATGGCACTGTGAGTCCACCGGAGACCGGTGTACATTCCTTCATCGTGGTGCTCGCAGACAAACTTCAACTGCAGCCTTGAGAAAAGTTTCCACACTTCTGTCAGCTGAACAGTTTGATTGTACATGCTGGAAAGGTTCATTCGTATATTCTATGACTGTTCTATGACTGCTGCTGTCAAGCTTGACCTGGCACAAAAATAGATTTGGTTTTAGTTTTTGGTTCGGTGCGGAGAGAATCCACATGAAACCCGGAGCTCGGACTAGATTTGGACTCTTTTGCGAAAAAGGCTCGAAGTCGCAGTTTGACCCGTTGACCTCGACTCTGTGACCTCAGGTCAGTGGGACTCCGTCGAGGGGCCGCTGGACTTCATGCCCGGTTGACAAAGAGCAGAAGCTCTTCTCGTCCTGCTTTTGTCTTAGCCTCAGCTGGTACCGTCGCCCCCGTGAAGTACACCACATTTTAACGGATGCTTTCACCCGAAAACCAACATTCCGACGCCGAATAGAAAACAAAACCCGTCTGAAACGTTGGCCTTCATGCCAAATCCTTTTCACCTCAGAGGTTACCTTCTAATCTGATTTCTCTGCACACTTCAGTTTGGGGATAAGGCTGCTTGACCCAAACGAGTCCTTTCACAATAAAAGTACCCAGCATCCAGAATCCCAGCTTGTCGATTAAAACAATAATGTTGCTCGGCCCGGCGTCTGCAGGCTACAAACAAAAAAAGGGAACCGTCAAACAACAACAACAACAAAAGAAAGCCTGCGATCACACGCTGCTGGTGTGTTCTCTGGAGGCGGGGCTGTAGCTGATGAGCGACAGCTCCTGCTCCGCCTCCAGCTCCGTCTCCGAGAGCGCGCCGGCGTTGTGGCAATCGGAGAGGCTCTGCGACACTATTCCGATTTGCGTCTCGTCGTCCGTAACGTCGTCCAGGTCCACCGCCAGCCTCCCGTTGTCCCCCCTCCCGCCGTTGCGACAGTTGCTGTTGCGGTCCACGCCCGCTTTCCCGTGACCGCCCAGCAGGAGAGGGGTCACGGCGTGCGACGAGCACGACGGCGGCACCAGGAGGGTTTTGCAACTCTGTCCGGCGGCGTTGGCGCCGACTTTGTAGCGGCACCTGATGTAGCTGGAGAAGGCCCTCCTGTAGGTCTTATTGAAGAGGGTGTAGACCAGAGGGTTGACCCCCGAGGAGATGTAGCCCACCCACACGAACACGTTGAGGAGGTCGTTGAGCAGCGACTCGTTGCAGGAGCCCCGGCACAGGACGAAGGTGACGTTGGTGATGAAGAAGGGGCACCACATGATGAGGAAGAGGAAGAAGACGATTCCCAGGACCTGAGGAAAGGAAAGAAGAGAGGGAAAGTGAATTAAAAAGATGCCAATAAAAGAAAACACGGATCTTTCTCCGATTCATAAAACCTCTTTAAAAGCTTCTTGAACGCTCTCTGATCAGAATTCATGCTTCATACACACATAGATGTTCTTCTTAATATCATTGCTGCCACTGCTGCTGGGATTTGAAGGTGTTGCTGCAGGTATGAGAGCGCTTTGGTCTTCATCCAGCGTGAATTAGAATTTTAGCGAAGCCACCGCCGCCGAGCACTCTGACTCAGGCAACGCTTCAAGCTTCTCCTTTTTTTTAACGTTTGCTCAAAGCGTCTGGCTGGATTTGATAACGCGAGCTCGTCTAAACATTTCAGAGGAGACGTGTGAAACCACCGGAAGGACGAGTCTTACTTTAATACATTTAGTGATAAACAACGCTGCACACAGAGCTCTAAATACTGGTCCTTCAGTATTAACATTAATAATAACATGGAAGATCACAGAATATCTAGGCTTTTATGATTGGCTGATGAAGAGATTTTTAAAGGTGCTTTATTTCACATTTTTTATGTAAATAGGGGCTCAAAAGACATAAATACAGACACACGGTCAACCATCACTGGTGGGTGTGGTCGGATGTGTGCTCTGTTGCATTTGCAACCACACCCACCAGTGATGTCACAGTGTACTGACCGCACCCTGGAGTACACTTCTACATCACTGCAGCAAGGTGAGAAGTTAAACGTTGTTCTTATGTTCTTTTTGTTTGTGTAAACATGGACGGGTTATGAGACAACGGGCCCCTGGACACAGACAATCAGAAGGCCCCTCCACCTCTCCTACACAGGAATCACACACACAGAGTGTGTGAGGAATTTGGTTGTTTGTAGTTGTGATGTGCTTCTTTGTAGTTTCTTTGTCTCTTTGTAGCCATTTTGTGCTCATTTTGTGTCTGTTTGGGCTTTGTGTGTCTATTTTGTTCTTTTTTTTGAGTCTTTGTAGTCTTTTCATGTCTTTGTCATCCTTTTGTGTCTCTTTGCAATGGTTTTGTGTGCCTTTGTAGTCATTTTATGTCTCTTTGTAGTTGTTTTGTGTCTCTTTGTAGTTGCTTTGTGTCTATTTGTGTCTCTTTGTAGTGTATCTATGTCTCTTTGTAGTCATTTAGAGTCTCTTTGTAGTTGTTTTGTGTCTCTTTGTGTTTTCTTTGTATATTTGAGGTCTTTTTGTCACTTTATAGTCGTTTTATGTTTCTTTGTGGTTCTTTTTGCATCACTTTGTGGTCAGCATGTGTCTCTTCGAGTTACATTTTGCAGGGGAAGGCCAGGGAAGCCCCTGACACTTTGGGCCCCTGGGCCTGTGCCCTATATACACCTGTTCAGTACTCCATAGAAACAAAAGCAATTGTCTAAATAACAGTTTTTATTAGATTATCTCCCTGCTACCACATTACATACCTGCAGGACCCTGAAGAAGAGCACCTTAAATCCCCTGACAAGCACTCAGCTCCACTCTCTGTTCTCACCTTGGAGGCCCGCCGCTCGTTCTTTATGGCCTGCATCATGCCCCGCCGCCCGTGGCACCCCGACGAGTCGCTCCGCCCCTGCCCTGCGGCTGGCGAGCTGAGCTGAGACACGACCTCCGAGCTGGGGATGATGCTTAGGCTGTCTGGCGAGGAGATGCTGCGCAGTATGCTGGACTCTGCTCCTTTCAGGCAGCTCAAGGTGTTTCGTCTGCTCTGAGGAGGCGGCGGCTTCAGCTCTGTGGGAGAGGCGAGAGCGGTCAAGAAGCTACACCACCAAGGAAAGTGTTGAACCAAATTTCCACTGCACAAAGCCTGCTCTTTTCCCCCTACCTTGTGAATCTGAAGGAGCAAGTGTGGTGATCTGAGGAATCTGGAAGGTGCCGGGTGGAATCTGCAATGTATTCGTCATTGCTGGTGTGTGCAAAGGCTGCTGGGACGAACTCTTTGCCTCGCACAGGAAGACAGTGGCCTGCCTCTGGAGCACCTGGCGAGGGAGAGAGAGGGAGAGAGAGGGAGAGAAGGAGAATGAAGAAAGAACGAGGAGAGGATTGTGAAGTAAGGACATATTGTACGACTACCTGTATGGTGAGGCCGTACGTCACCACCATGATGACCAGCGGGATGAAGAAGGCCACGAACGAGCCGATCAGCATGAAGCGCTCCTCGTTGAGGACACAGCTGCCGTTGACGAAGACCTTGTCCTCGTTGTGGAGGCCGATCACGGGGATCGGCATCGACACGCCTGGAGACAGCAAGAGGGTCAAGGGGAATAGATGTCGTTCATTTCTATTATTTTGTTGAGCACTGATGCAAACACATCAATGTATTTGTACCAGGTAATATCCTTAAAAACAATAACAATATGTAATATAGTATAAGGGATCTGGGATCTGTGTCCACACGCGTGTTCTTTCACACAGGCAAGTCTCTCGTTCGCTGCCGTAATTCATTTTAGTCCACGGTACATCATTCTCTCCTGCACAGCTGGGGACCGGGCCGACATCAAAACGCCATTTAGGAGCAGTGGCAGCTCCCTTTAATGAGATCGTTGACAATCGACCACACAGACGTCGCCCGGGACGAAGAGTCTGTGAGCGGATCTCAGATCTGAGGATGTCTAAATAACATCTGATGTGCAGATCGTTCTAATGAGACTGTTCAGTGGTCTTCTTCCTTCTTTGTTTACTCCTTTCCTTCTTGTTTCCTTCTTCCTTTACTCCTTTCCTTCTTGTTTTCTTCTTCCTTTACTCCTTTCCTTCTTGTTTCCTTCTTCCTTTACTCCGACCTCCTTGTTTCCTTCTTCCCTCTTTTTTTACTCCCCCCTCTTCGAGACCGCCTCTACGTCTCACTGTTTTGTTACACCACAGAGACATCGATGAGGATCTCCCGCTGGATGTTTTGCTTCTCTCAGACCTCAGTCGCAGCAGCGCGTAGCGGTGCAGAACCTTTGGAAGAGGTCAAGGAAACGGGAAGAAACGGGGGATTTCTATTAATTCAAAAGCAGCCGGTTGTGAAGGACTGCAGAGGGAGAAGAAAGGACGTGAAGCTCTTCCTGGTTTCTGGAGCTGTCAATCAACCTCGATCCGTCAGCGGTATTCAGTTTTACAGCAAAACAACTTTGGAGTAAACATACTTTACTTTGTTGTTTTTGGCTTAATCCAAAGTGTCTTTTCTTCTTGCTTCCCTGCACACAGTCCTGCACTGATAACACTATTAAACGTGGTCAACAGAGTAAATGGGATCTTGAGGAGAGATAGTCGTTGTAAATATTTGTTTAAAGCTGCGAGGAAATTGAGAATTTAGCCGTTGCATTCAGATTATTAGAGGGGAGGGGAGTTGAGGAAAGGGGGATGGGGTGTATTCTTTAAGGGGAGGGTAGTCGGACTTCCTTAAAGGTCAGTGTGCAGCATTTAGGGGATCTTTTAGTACGTTTTCTTTAGTGAATAATCACCTGAAAATAAGAATCTGCAATGCCCTGTCCTACAGATAAACCATAATTCAAAATGATACTTTATGTTCTAAGCCCTTATACTATCTAAACAATCTTTACTACTGATTTATGGCTAAATCAACTTCACACACACACTTTTAAATGTCACCCAAAAGAGGAAGCTGTTGCATGTGTGTTGCTACATTAGTTGAAAGCAGCAACACACAGCTCGACACTACAAAGGTAAGAAAGAGGCAGTAAGTCTCTTCATGATGTATTAATACTTTACAGCACATCTTGTGTGTGGAAACGATTCCTTGGTAATCCCTCAGCATTGATCCCTGTGAGCCCTCTCACACATCCATCGCTGCTCAATGTCGAGGGATTGAGGGGGTGAAGGAAACGCCAGCAGGAATATCGTGATTTCTTTCGAGCCAGCGGTGAGTGAGTGAGTGCTGTTGTATCTGCAGGTGTCAATCATCTCCTTCTGTCAATGCTGCCTTCGAGAAGCAGTCTCTCAATGTAGAACCTCTAAACACCAGATGGAGTAAATGGAGAATACCTCAGAGTGGATGATGCACATTTCCAATTATATTTGTACCCCAGCGGGTACACCTGCTGTGTAGAGCTTTTGGAGTAGCACAGCTGACGGGTGTTATGCTGATTGTCAGTGTATTTATTCTCACAGTAACCAGTAAGATTCTGTACGCACGCCACGCTGACTGAAGTCTGAGATGAAGTAAATGGAGGCCGCTTTTACCAAAACGTGTCAACGAGCGCTCACACAACTCTACGTCTCGTTTATCCAGTCGGATGACCAGAACTTCCCAAACTCATGCATCGTTTTTGCTAAAAACGTATTATTAGAAACAGCTCGTTCATGACTTCACTCCCAGGTCTGAGCCTCAGTCCACCCACTGCTAGCTAACTAGCTAACATTAGCATGAAAACATGGCGGCAGCATGGTGAATTTAGCCAGACGCTGAATTAAAATTGAACAACTTCCTGTTTGATCTACACACAGCGAAAGCACGTCGATATTGTCAGATAATCAGTCATGAACACTGATAGATAAACATAATATCCAGTCCTCAGAAAGGAGAGAACAGGCTTGTGGCTTGTTTAATAATGAAAGCGGATATGACTGGACTTTTGATCATTTTTCTCTCAACCAACGCAAATAAGAATTAACTTTTGTCCTCGATTAAAGACACCATTTAGAAAAATATCCACCTTAATGAGTCGTTTTAATAATTTTCCCTTTTCAACAGAGACAAGTTTATTCTGAGTTTTTAAAATAGGTCATTACTAAATATTTCTCTCATGTATTAAATCCCACACATACAGTAGGGATCCTAAATATAGGAGCTCCTCCAGAAGAACTATCTACTGTATCCCAGAGGGTTCTATGTGCTAGTGCAATGACTTAACATGTACTGTAGGGCCAGAGGACGTCAGACTAATGATATGCTTAGACAATCTGTGTGTGTGTGTGTGTGTGTGTGTGTTGTAGTACGTGTTAAGACATGGAAGCCCTCCCGGGTCTTAAAGGGCACGAAAAACAACATCAACAGGAGCCGGAGGTCAGACAGGCAGAGGGACGTCTGAGAGGAAAGTTTTAAAAGTCATCTGATCAGAATGCACTACTCTCCCCCCAGGACACACACACACACACACACACACACACACACACACACACACTCACACGACAAACTGATACACGCAGGCTATTATACAGATGAAAAGATTGCTCTATCAAGGGAGGGTTGGGAGGGAGAGGGTGATGAGGGATTTTGGAAACAGGAGGAAATTATAGTGAAGTAACTTTTCCTTCTTCGTGATGTGATCGAGAGTCGAGATTATTATGTAAACTAAGTTTTACAAGGTCAAGAGTGAAGTCTAAATATCAAGAAAACGTGGACGGAGACGTCCTTAAAAGAGCAGTTTGGAGGATTCAGTAACATCTAGCGTGTCGGAGAACTACGGTGGCCTTCAGGGAACGTAAAAACGCAAAAGGCTGTTATAGAGCCAGTGTTTGGTTTGTTCATTCAGGGCTACTGTAGAAACGCGGTGGCCTGCTCCCTTAAATCTTCTGAATCTTAAACATTGGATCTGTAATATGCTCCAAAAAATAATTCACATGCACGAACGTGCTTCAGTATATCTGTTTTAACATCCACCGTCTATATACTTATATGCAGTGCTTTCCTAGCTCGCGGCTATCGCTAATAGCAGTCATTCATTGCCAGACGACATAATTCATTCATTTGCATATCATTTGTCTTCGCAACCGATCGAGACGATTATGAAAAGTGCTGCCTTCACACCTCCGGGGATGGATCATCAGAGAAGTACGAGATGCAGATCAGCTGCATCTGTAACGGGAAGCTGGGAGACGCTTTGAGCGTCAACAAAGGGACGACGTTCCCCGTGTTTCAGAGAAGTCAGGAGGTGTGCTGGGTGGACCTGTGGAGAGAACTGCCAGGGGATCCCAAAAAAAACCTCCCATTCAATTTAATAACAGCCATCAATCTGCAAAGTCTCTGTGTGGGCGTATAGGGGGTTTAAGCCTCCATCATGTCTTATAGAGTACAAATCAAGTGTTTGTCTCTTTAAATCAGTTGATTGGCTGCTTTTATGAGTTACCATATATAAAAATAGTGATCATGTACCACTTTAAGAGAAAAGCTCATCAGTATCCCCCAAAATCAATAAGCTTCTTCTTCTTGACAGCAATCATGCAAACCTGGCCTTCATTGATTCATCCAGCTGATGATGATTGTCACGATAATTAACTTACTCCACCGTGAATGAAACATACGCTTAAAGGTGTGTTCTGACCTATAGATATGGTCCACACGGCGGCGATCTTCATCATGGCTTTGGTTCTGGAGTTGAAGCGGCTGTGCTCGATGGGGTTGCGGATGGCGACGTACCGGTCCAGGGAGATGGCGCACAGGTGCATGATGGAGGCGGTGGAGAACAGCACGTCCAGGTAGATCCAGATCGGACACAGGGCGCTGGGGAGAGGCCAGGTGTAGTCTGGAGGACGGAGGAGGAGGAGGAAGAGAGGGTAGAAGAAAGGAAAGGTGACGTTACATTGGCTGTGCTAGAAATTTACATGCACTACATGTCACAGCTCCCACGAGGAATCAGGTTAAAGTGATGGTTTGATTGCAGGATTTAGTTTAGAAGTATTACTCTTCATTATCACGATTAAGATCGTTAATAAATGTGTTTGCATGGATTATTCTACAGCCGGAGAGAAAGAGGTTCAGATTAGATCATTACTTTGTCTACACAGCGTCTGGTTTAGATGATCTATATGTTTGTAGATTATAGATGTGAAGGTTTGTGTGAAGTTAAGTGTTTTTTTGTTATGTTTTGTGAAAGACTCGAGGTTTTGGTGCATTCTGGGAATAAAAAAGATAAAACAAAGGCAGACTATAAAGATAAAGATCGAGCTGACAGATTCGTTTTCACAACACTGCACCCACACTGGAGGAAATGAGTCATTCATTATCATTAAAAGTGTGTTAAAATATGGGACAGAGTCAGTCAACGTTTTTCGACTGTCACCCAAAGACTGAATGTATAATTTAAAAGGTATTACATTTATCATGCTGCGTTCTTGTGGAAATCTCGGGGCAACATTATACCGGCTTATTATCAGCATGTTTGATCAGAACTATTCATAAAAAGATAAATATGCATGAACACCACTGGAAAACATAAATGTCACAATCTGAGTTGGTAAAGAGAAACCGTACTTTAAACGTGCATTTTCTCTGCTGTCCACCAGGGGGCGACTCCTCTGGTTGTATAGAAGTCTATGAGAAAATGACTCTACTTCTCTCTTGATTTATTACCTCAGTAAACATTGTAAACATGAGTTTATGGTCTCAATCTCTAGTTTCAAGTCTTCTTCAATACAGCATGAGGCACTTTTTAGCGTCTGTTTGAGACACACCAGGCTTCCAACTCACTCCAGTGTAAACCCAACCGAGTATAAAGAGTAAGAAAGTCTGCATAGAGCGAGGCGAGATCAAACAAACACAGGACTTTCACTCAGGACATTGCTGTCCGTGTCCCCCGTGAAATCAAAAATCGAGGTTTACGACCGTAGTTTTCTTACGTTACATCAGGACTTTACATAAGTTAGTTACGTAACCAATGTAGTCACAAACGCACGAGTTTCAACCAAAACCACGATCTTTTCCGAAGCCTAACCAAGTTTTGTTTCGCAAGTAAACCTAAAAACTAAATAAACCTACGTTGGAAGTTTATTTTGAAAAGAGACTATCTATGTAACGAGTGGAAAGGTTAATATGTAAATTAAGGTAAAAATATATATATATATGTCACGGACCGGTTAATCTTCAGTTAGATTTAAATCTGATGGGAGGAAAACGGTTATATAACAGGACACGGAGGCCAACATCAGATAAACTCGAGGGAGAGATCCCCCCCCCCCCCCCCACAGAGAGGTCACAGGTCACAGCCGCTGACAGCGTGATTCCCTGTAGAGCTTGTGGCGAGTCAGTGTTTTGGCTCACTGCTCTGCAGGGGAAACAAGTTCGGGTTACCGGGGGAATAAAATCAGCCTAAGTCATCAGCAGCTGATGTAACTACCAGAAATACAACAGGGAGCATTTTAGCAGAGCATTAAGTGAACGGGTTCACCTTTGCTGGTGTAAATGAATTAGCTGCTGAGCTGGCTAAAATGATATCCAGGCAATATTTTACCCACAAGCAGGAAAGAAACACTGGGGAGGAGAATAAAAGCCCAATACTCAAGTAAAATCACCCAAAAAATGATAAATGCATCTGTAGAGTGTCCCAGGCTCATACACTTGGGGGGGGGGGGGTCGCGCTGCTGTATATTTTGCTGCTGTCAGCTCTCTGAAGACGGCACACGCTGCAAAGTCCGACTCTCTGGGTCTTTCCGTGCCCGAAGCTTAGTTATGCCAAGAATCTTTACAGAGGACAAGACCTGCGGCCACACACACACACACACACACACACACACGATCTTTAATTTCATCTCTGATTCGCAGCACAGGCCGCACGTATGCGATGCATGTGGAGTGAATCACGCCTGTGTTTGTGTGCGCTGACCGAGTGGGAGGCAGATTGCATAACTTTCCGGAGGTCAAACACTTATTGGGGGCACCAAGCATGACACACACACACACACACACACACACAAGGTGCTACTCAGCTGGCTCGCGGGTGCGTTGGACTTTCTGGTAAATACGCGGTAGAGACTGAGTTCACCGCTACAGCTACAGTCTAATTATTCATTTGTTCATAATGAGAATATTGCACAATTTGTAGCTGTTTAATTTCAATATCAGGGAAATCCTTCATTTTTGACCTCTTTTCTAATTAGTCAATATACGTAAACAATTACTGCAAGTTTGAGGAAAGTATGAGAGCTTGTGTTGTCGTCTCCCCGGCCCGAAACAAAAGCAATATCCTCTTCCTTTTGGCTGACGCAGTTGTGTTTGTGCTGTAAATGGCGCCTTCATTTTCCCGGCACACCGTACCCGACGGCAGGCAGAACTAGTGAAAGCGAGGCCTGTAGGGAACCCATCTAAACCACGATTGAGTGATTATTCTAGAACCATTACATTGTGAAACCAACACATACTTCGTAATGATGAGCTAAAGCAGAGAGAACTTGCCTGTTGCCACTTTAAATGAGTCCGCGCTGCTCTCACGTGTTCGAGGGTGAAGTGGCAGAAAGCCATCGACCTGAGCGAGGTGCAATTTACTGCCCGGTTCTCTCATCGTACTTCATATTACAGTCCGTCTCACTTCTCTTTCCAATTCATTAAAGCACAGATGACACAGCTCATAACAATCCGCCGTCTGTGGGAAGAGGTCCGGCATCGATGTGTGTGTGTGTGTGTACATGTGTGTTTTATCAGCGAGTGTTTCCAATTGCAGAGAGATAACTTTGATTGAGTTGGCCCTGAAGGTCGTATACTTTGAGGCGGTGTGTTCCTGTGTGTGTGTTTTATTGTGTGTGCTTTAGTGTGTGTGTTTTAGTGTGTGTGTGTGTGCTTTAGTGTGTGTGTGATCTCCTCCCGTCCTAATTGAGTCTATAAGATCTCATCTTCCTCTCTGCTGCTTCTCGTTCCGTCTCATTTCATCACCTCTTCTCAATGCTGTCTCCTGATGTTATTCCTGCGCATTAACATTTCTTAGATATATTGTTTACTTTATGGTGGTGATTTGAGGTGCGATATATTCTGTCGTGCCATTCTTTGTTTATGTGCCTCGCTTCATATATTATCAGTGTTTAATTACCACTGTTGTTGTTTTATCACCCCGCAAAGCTGAATGAATCTAAATGACATGTTGCCTTATTCGTCTTCCTTTACGGCCACATATTGAATCAATGGAAGAAGTGAGATTTGTGCCGAATAATAAGAACGGATATGGAAAGTTAAGACATTATCTTTGTGGAAAAAGTTTGTACGGAAGTTCAAACTGCATTTCTGCCACCGCAGTCATCATCGCCTCCCCTACGATAAGCGATGGGCTTTTTCTGTTTTGTAACGACGTGCGCCACAAAACGAAGCCTCTGTTGCCGCATCGGCCTTCTTCCTCAGGTTGGTGAACAGAGGTCTTGTAAGCGTTCGTTTCCAGCTCCCACACCTTCTCTGTCCGTACGACTGCTACAAGCTGAAAGAGTCCCATGAAAGGTTTCTGTGGACTTTTCGCGAAGTGGCGCCCAACGTTCCGTCAAATCTGGTGTGCGCTTGCTGTTACGTTCATAATCTTTTAACCTTTAGCGAGACACTCGGAAACGGGTGGCGAGCTACTTGTTGGAGACCCGTGTTGTAGAGCGACAAGACAGCGTAGCGAGGTGTGTCTTCTGCGGGACGTTTCTTCCACTCTCGCAGACAATTTCAACCATTTACATGCAGCGCAGGACTGAGCGAGGTTGCGTGGACGAGGACGTTTGACGGAGGACGGCTGGAAATGTGACATCTGCAACGACAAGGACGTGCGTGATCTGATCAAGATGATTAGAATAATGCTTTCCCGTCCAAACAACATTTACCTCATTGTTTTATGCTGGGACGTTATAAACAGTGTGTGTGTGTGTGTGTGTGTGTGTGTGTGTGCTGGTTATTTTGGAAGCTTAGACCCTATCAAATATATTCAGTCATCATTCCTGTAATTCCAATTTAAAAAACTCAAACATTTGCCAAAAGCTGTGTGTGTGTGTGTGTGTGTATATAGAGATAAAGTCGCTAAATTACAATCCACATCATCTTTTATCATGATTGCCATCATCATCATAATCATTATAAAGTTAAATGGTATGAGAACATTCTGTGTGTGTGTGTGTGTCTGGTCCATCACTCAGACAGCCGTGGGGATCAATGCAGTCGAGCATCAGTCTGATGGATAACACTGCAAGTATATAGATCCAGGCTCTGTGGGATATGTGTATGGAAGGTATGTGGGTCTGTCTATAAATGACACGCTGTCTGTCTGTCTGTCTGTCTGTCTGTCTGCCTGTCTGTCTGTCTGTCTGCCTGCCTGCCTGCCTCGGCTTTTATGTGTGCATCCGTCTGTAAAACAGAGAAAAACAGATTATTGTTGGTGTTTGTGTGAAACATTGATTACCGCGGTGGGCAATCAGCGGCAGCAGCTCCAGACAACAGACAAGGCACAGAGTGAGCGCCCGAGTGTGTCCATTGACCGTACGCGGCCCATTAAGCACTAATCAACCTTCGCCGTCCTGCTTTGTATTCCCGAGGGACTCCAGCGACAAAGCAGAGACATTAATATAGTAAGTTTGGCCAAGTCGTGCCGAGGATACAAAAGAGCTGCCGGGGACGAACATGAGATGGAATGAAGATGTTTGATGAAGGTTTGTGCAGATCCACGGAGACTTCGGTGAATCTGGGGGACTCGCAAGAGACATCCTGACTTTTTAATCACTTGTATAGGTCAAGTTTCAAAAACGTTCCCATGATGCCACCACAGACTGTATATAAGAAGTAGACGTAGTCATCGTAATGTCACTCATTGGTTTGGGGACTGACTTTTGATGTCTCGAGTTCGGCATCTTGGCCGTCGCCATCTTGTTTTTTTGCAACCAGGGAACGGAAGTGACCATATTTGGACTGCGGAGGAGTTACGTAGAGGCTCTGGTAACAATCTGTCAATCACCATGTAGCCCCGCCCTAAAGCATCCCCTGCTTTATGGTCTGTTTGACTCTAAATGGACCATAATGTACTAAATGAACATCATGCTGTATTGAAGAAGACTTGAAACTAAAGATTGAGACCATAAACTCCTGTTTACAATGTTTACTGAGGTAATAAATCAAGAGAGAAGTAGAGTCATGTTCAGATATTCAGACATACAGGTAAAGGTAGGTAGGTAGGTAAAATACGTCAGTGTTGGGAAGCTTAAAAAAATGAAAAACAGTCCAAATACATGGAAATCCTAACAGGTGTAACCTGCACAAAACTCCCCAAATTGAATCCATTTTGGGCCTGTCAAGATAAAAAGCTATGTTGACCTTTTCTGAATCTGTCCATCGTTGCTGTCACATCGGTACACCGTCACATATGCGATCACTATTTGCACCCAAACTCAAGTTAATTAATGAAAGTTTTCTCAGACACAAAATGACCACATGTGACACCGGCTGATAACCGAGGCGACGTCTCACATCAACGTCTCCGCCAGATGCACAGAGATCAAATCACAAATCATTTAGTGCCGACCGAGTCTGAGCAGCTTTTTTTTCTTCAAATCTGTTGGCCTGTCACGATAAACGCTACGTCAACATATTCATATTTGGCTGTCACTGCTGTCATCTGACTAGATTAGTGTATGCTCTGTGTGCTGCAGTTCCAAGGAGATGCTGGATCTAATGACACATGAGATGATTGGTGGCTGAAAAGCAACAATATTTCTCACGCCTATAACAAAAGCATTTAACCCGGATTCCTGTGCAGACATTCTCTCTTTTATACGTTTGTTAAAGTGGCTGAAATCAAAATAACTTTGGAAGCACACTTGTCTGAAAATGTTTGAACATGACCTTGTAGTTTAAAAGCTGCACTTATCATTAGTTTTATATGAATGAGTCAATGTGCAAGGTGAGAGCTTGTAGTGACAAACCAACAGAGAATTGTCACCAGACGCTGCAGTTCCACTTGGTTTTAAAACCATTTTTAGCTCATTGTTTGTCCGCAAATCTGGTGTTTAAAAATTCACTCTCAAGGCTCTCATTAACGTTGTTTTCCGTTGCACCCACTCTACACTATCTGCCCAGAGAGACACAGTAGCTGAAGCATCAACACATCACACATCTAGTGTCACAACATGCACCTAGCAGTTAAAGCAGGTGCATGTTTTCAGTGCATAAGATGTCCTACTATCAGCTCCTCAGTAATGGTGACATGTACAGGTGCACAGTAAGAGATGTACCTCTCCTCTGTGGGGTTAATGCAGACACCTAGGCTGAAATGTTACAGGGAGACAGCTTCTCCTTAATCAAATATTTTTACTCAACATTGGAAAAGAAATTCAATAGGCAGCCTCCCCGACATCATATTAGGCTAATGTGGGCGTTCATGCTGAATCTTGGCGGGGATATTGTAAGCAGGAACAGCAGTTGATCGGGTATGATATCGCAATTATCAAGTTGGCATCCTCCGGCTCTGGAATCACTCGCAGTGTAATAGCGAGCAACGTCTTGGAGAAGTAATAATCATTTCAACAATTGCACTGAAAAATGTTTTGAAATAACGACAGGACGCATGTCACAGTGAGGTGCAGCTGGTGAGTGGGCGGGTGCCCGAGAGCAGAGGTAGAAGAATGTTTAAGTAATGGGGATTTATAAGTATGTATGATTAGAGTAAGACACTGTATGCTTACAGTAAAAAGACATATTTCTGTAGAAATTAAACCTGGATTATCCAGAGAAATGTGGGACTGTGAGCAAGAAAAAGATAAAGGTTTACAAGGAGCAACAACGTTATCTGTTATGAAGCTTTCTGTCTGTTGCTTGCTGCATGTTTATAAGTCTGCTTTGTGTGTAGTAAAAACTCACCATAGAGGATGTTGATGAGGGAGACCGGCATGACCAGGATGCCTACGAGCATGTCCGCCACGGCCAGCGACCTCAGGAAGAAGTTGGTGGCGTTTTGGAGCTTCTTCTCCAGCGACACTGCCAGGATCACCAGGATGTTGCCACCGATCGTCAGCGCGATGATGACCAGTATGAGCAGCGCCGGCCAGTTTTTATCGTTCATCACCAGGGCGGTGACAGACTCCTGGGTGAAATTGTCCACGCCTGCGCTCATGGCTGCCGCACCTCCGCCGCTGCCTCCAAACCCTATCCCCCATGGCAGGGTTTGGTTGAGGTCCAGGGGGTTTATGCTTGGCCAAGCCATCCGACCACCAACCTCCAGGGAAGAAGTGGTGGTGCTGAACCCGCCAAGAAGAGCCCTTTCTGGGCCGCCCATCCCAAAAGAGAGAACCGATAGGAAGTTTATAAGGGGAAGGCCTCCCCTGGTTTGTACTCAGCTTCCTCACCAGCAGAGGGAAGAAGAAGATGGAGAGAGACACGCGGTCTGCATTGATTAAACGTTATTTGAAGAGTTTTGAAGTGGGTCTTCCAAAATGAATTCTCAATAGCATTACACCATTAGGAAGGATCTGGGGGATGGGGTAAAATCAGGGACAAAGCAACTTTGGGGATGGGGAGTTACAGGAAAAGGGGAGAGGGGATTGGAAGATCCCAGCTACAAGAGTGTTTTTTTTAGTTTGTATTGTATTCCAGTGAAGTCTTGCTAGCTGCAAACAGCCTCAAATTGTTCCCTGAGCTTTGAATCTCCCATTTCCTGCCAATAAATCATTGGCAAGGAGTTCTCAAGGTGTTCGCCGAGCCAAATTGTCCTGCGTTGCTTTGTGGTGGATCAGTCACATCCACCTCTTGATGGAACTGAGAGTTTGAGGGTTTCTAATTTGGATCTGAAAATTGGTTTACACACATCCATAGCTGCTGTCTGCTCCAGCAGCCAGATCTCTACTGGTTAGTCTGCAGATGAGTCTCAATCAGTTTTGATGCATTCAGCTGTAAATCTTTCTGCTGTGGTCGATTATGTCCAAGGTGTTGCGAGTTTCTTCTTTCAGGTCAGACTTGATGATCAGGTTGATCTGTGAAGGAACCAACAAAAGAATGACCATTAATCAATCAAATCTGTCTCTCTTGCATCTTCTGTATTGTTTTAACATCCGTTGGTCTGTCTTTTCAAACCTGTCTTCTTTACATTTACCAAATAAGGTAAATAGAAATAAAGGTTTCCAAAAGGGTTCCTCCTGAAGGGTTGAGGTTCTACTCGGAACCATTTGCTTCTGAAGAACCCCTTTGTTAAAAGCCCAAAAAAACCCAAAAACTGTGATTGTAGACCATGATTGTTGTGGATTGCGCTGCACCACATCAGCCTCCTTTGATGGGATCAAGATGAAACTATTGGAATATGAAAGGGTTCTCAGTAGAAACCTCTGGGTGGGTTCTAGATGAAAGCCTTGGGATATAAAAGGGGTTCTCGGTAAAACCCCCAAGTGTGTTCTTGATGAAACCCCTGGAATATAAAAAGGTTCTCAAAAGAACCCCCTTGGTAGGTTGGAGATGAAAGCCTTGGTATATAAAAGGATTCTCAGTAGAACCCCTTAACTTGATTCTTGTTAGCACCCTTAACACGTGATACGATCACGGACAGAACCTCCCGAGAGGGTTCCAGGACAAACTCTTACACCATAGAACAGTTCTCTGAAGGACCTTTCCCAGGGGGTTATGGGTGGAACCTTTCACAGATCGTTTTAAGTACATCCTGTTATGTTGGGGTCTAGACAGATAAAGGGTCCTTTATTGTTCTAGTTAGGACCTGTATTTGTGAGAGTGCATTACCCCATATTCCTTTAAGTCATTACTTACATGTTTCCATCCTTCCTTTGTTTCTTATTTGGATCTTTTCACACGTTTATTGTGTTTTCTATTCTGTCCTTCTCCCTAACCTCCCTCCCTGTTTTTCCTGCATCCCCCCCTCCAGCCACCCATCAGATCTCGCTCTATCCTTCTTTTATTCCTTCTTCCACACAGCGGTTCCTGCTTTACTAGACTAATTTATGATATTGTCTGTCACTTCCAATAAAAGTTAGGAAGAGAGAATGATGTCATTTAAAACAAACTGATGGTGATTAAATGAAACAGAAGCATGGATGTTTACACCCTCACATTGCAGAGTGTGTGTGTGTGTGTGCAAAAGTACTGGCTGTCCTCTCTATTTACCCTTCGCTCTCAGCGGGTTAGTGATTTAGCACCTCATAAATGTCTACAAGGACATGTGGAGGGGTCTGAGTAAACTCTGTGTGTGTGTGTGTGTGTGTGTGTGTGTCTTTGCATGTAAGAAATAGCGAGACAGAGCGTGAAGGTCTGTGAAAATCAATGAGACAGTTTTTAAGAATGTGTGGGCATGTGTTTAAGAATGAAAAGAGAACACGTTTTCTTTCTCTTCCGTGTCCGCGCGTGTGTGTGTGTGTGTGTGTGTGTGTGTGTGCATTCAAGATAAAACGCCTGCACATCTCCAGACGGACCCGGGCCTCAAGCTGAGATAGTTTAGTAGGCGGTGAGTCTACAATAATATCAAGCAGAGCACAATAGGCCCTCTGAGTGTGTGTGTGTGTGTGTGTGTGTGTGTGTGTGCATGTTCTACTCATTGCTATAAGCAGAATGATAAAACTCCTGCTTTGCATTGTTTCAGCCTGCCTGTTAACATTTGTTTTGTTTAACGGGAATCTATTGTATATGAACATGTGTTGTCTTTGTCTTGAGTAAATGACTGCATTCATTGTCGAGGTGTGATTGTGTGCAAACATAATCAATAATTCAGATTATTCATGTGTGTGTGTGTGTGGGCAGATGAATTGTTAGTCATCATACCTAAAGGACAACAACATAAACGTTGTTTGCAGCGTCTTCCGAAACGACCCGTAGAACCTTTGCAAAAATGAGTCACGTGACTGTTTTCTGACCTACGAGCTCTCCGGTTAAAGGAGCAGTTTGACATTCTGGAAGCTATTCAGGATCTCACTGCGATGTGAAGACCTCACCGTGAAGTCACCGTGACCAGCTGTTGTTTGTGAGGAATTAGTTACAGCACATATTGTGGCCATCTGCGGTTGATCTTGTTCTTTTCAAGTTCTTCACTTATTTATATTATTAATCACGTAGGAAGACGGTCGGGAGACTCTTTGCATTGTGATGTAGAGGTGAAAAAAAACACCTGCTTTCCTCTGCCATCTGCTCATTTACACAACAGACGTCACATTATCCAAACCGTACAGGACGACAACACAAACCCAAAGGAGTTTAACTCATTGTTCAATATTATTCGTTTGAATCATTCAAAACCTTTATTCCTAATAACATTCTAGCATGTCAAATAAATCAAATAAAAGAGACTATTAATAAAGTATACATAACTCCCCGTAAAACCACAGTGTCATATTTTACATTTGGCTAACAAACAGAGATTTAACATTTTTAATTAGTCAGCTCAGGCCTTTTAGATGTGTTGTCTTCTTTATCTTTGGAGACAGCCAGGTGAGCCGTTTCCCCCTTCCTTCAGTCTTTAAGCTAACCTAAGCTAAGCTAAGCTAATTAGCTCCTGGCTCTATCTCCACATAAGAATGTGAGTGCATTCCGTCCCGTCATCCAACTCTCAGAAATAAAGTGAAAAGGTATATTTCCCAAGATGTCAAACTATTACGACAACGTTTGGCAAAGTTGAAGCAAATGAAACCACTTGGTTAAGATCAGAGATGTGTTTCGGTCATAAGAACCCAACGCTGACTGTAGATTATTGTCAATGTTGGACCTTCTTACATCCAACCATCCACCCTAATACTCCACTGAAGAAGATATAATAGCACTGTAAGAGGAGAACAATGGCTCCATCTTTTCGGCCGCAGGATATTGCCCGAAAGGTTTGAGCGGACTTTGTTTTTTCGAATTTTTCATCAAGCTGTTTCATCTTAGTCCAAATCAAAAGGCACGTTTTCAATCATTCGTAATGCAACTTCACCAACTACTGTAAGTTTAGAGGAGCCTCTCTTTCTGCCACAGCTTCTCACTGCGCTTCAGCTCCATCCAAGTGGGGATCGGATAAATCTCTTTAAAGCTCAGCGTCGACATATCTTTAGCCGATTAAAGCACTGCGCTTTGTGTGATTATTTATCTTGGCTGAGTCTACGCTGGGAAAACTTTGTCCAGCATAAAATCAATAAAACAAACGAGTAGTGTGGTTGTGTTAAACATAAAGCCAGTAATGATGTAGATGTAAGCATCACTGTAAACAAATGGCTAGAAACATAAGAAAACAGCTTTAAATAAGAACAGACAACGAGGATGTGTGTGTGCACATATAAGAGTGTGTAATACACAAGCTGCTTCCTATCTTCTTCTCTAAAGGAAGAGTATCAGCATAGTTCACAGGAAACTAAACAGCACTGCAGGCGATCCATTTAACCGGTCTGATAAAGCAGCAGTACATCACAGAGAGAGATGGGCGAGGAGAGGAGGAGAGGAGGAGGATGGATTATAGAGACAAAGACAAAGAGATTGAGAGGAGAGGAAACCGACGGGATGTGGCCTCTCTGCATTGTTATTCTAACAATAATCATATTTTCCTTTTAATCATAAGAGCGTTAAACCTGGCATGAAAACACACAGTTCACTCGGCTCAAACCAAAGATTACAGACCCGGCCCGCTGGGGTTGTCTGCACGCGTGTCACGGCCGGCCAATCACATCATCGGTTGATTATAATTGGTGTTGCGACCGTCAAACACTTCTGAGAGAGAGAGAGAGAGAGAGAGAGAGAGAGAGTCACGGCTGGAGACCCAGAGAAGGATCCCGCAGCAGAAGTCTAGTTAAAGCACAAATGTCGCCGCCGCTTTGCTTTTTTCACCACCAGAGCAAATTGCCGCCGCACTAATGTTTGTTTAAGCCATCTCTGCTCGGCGAGATAAAACAGAGGGGGGTGTCGGGTGAAAGAGGACATTTGTTTTTTGTGTGTGTTTGCTTTGCAGCTTAACATTCAAGGGTTTGTATTTTATATCCATAAACACCATCAGCTATGAACATTGGTAAATTATTAAAACACTTTTTGTATCTCTTTCTCAATTTCACTACTCACACACACACGCTTATTTTGTTTTGAAACTGTAATTATTACGCCAGGAGGAACATGCACAAGTGAGTGAGTGAGTGAGTGAGTGCACCTCTGTGTCCGTCCACGGCCAATCTGCGACCTCTCGTGGTTGCGGTGACTCACATTTTCTCAAATCATCTTTTATTTCTTGTTTTGTACGACCATTGACTGCCTGCTGACTCCTCACTCACCACTCTTAACCGGCCCCCAGTAGGGGGCACTAGTGATAACACAGCTGAGTGCAACCCGACCTCCAGGCACTAACTCTGTGCCCCAGAGACGCGGCGTTTGGCTAATAGCTAGCAGAACTACCATCGTTGTACCTCGCCGCAACTCTACTGTGTGAAGCAATATTTTTTGGTGGCGTTAGCAGTTTGTTACTTCATATCAAATCCCAGATGTGGGGGAGTTTAATATACCTGTTGCGGGGCTTTGCACACTTGTCAGTCTGCTCTCGCTACCAATATTAGCTGCCCTGTTTCGGCTAATGGGGAACTAGGCTGAAAACACTAACGGGTAGCGGGTAACTTGCAGGTAGCGGGGTGACAGAACAACAGAATCATAAAATCTGATTCTGTGGTTTGGCTAGCACTTACGCTAACTGTCCATTTTCATTCTGTTCCAAACAAACTGCTGTTTCGCCTGCATAAAAAGTCAAATGCAGCACTTCCAAGTGCATAGGAGGATATTTCCTACAAAGAGCCAACGCATAAGAGGAATTTAAAACAGAAAAAAGATTAATGAATGTGTTCAGTCACCGCACAATACTGCAGAGGCACATCTTCTTCAGCCAACAATAGTGTGAGGAATGGCACAATAAAGCCTTTACACAAAGTTTCTGTGCTGCATTGAAAGTGCAACTCAGAAGCTCCTTTAGTCAGAAATATTGAGCACTTTGATCTCTGTAGGTGTTGCACACTGTACAACATGTGAGTGTTTTACAAAAAAAAGAGAAAGAGAGAGAGAGAGAGAGAGAGAGAGAGAGAGAGAGAGAGAGAGAGAGAGAGAGAGAGGGTGAGTGAGAAACATCCCAGTATCAGTAAATCTGGTCACTTACTTCTTCTCGCCTCCCGATCGATGGGCCTGACCTTTGCAGCTGTTTTCCATTACCGGCGGCGGCGACCCTTTCCGACGTTACCTCTCCCTTTCTCTGCCTCTCCCGGCGTATCAATCCGTCTGTCATCTGTCACTCCACACCTCCGGAGCGAGAGATCAGCATCATCCATCTGCCTACAGAGAAAGAGGGAGGGAGAGAATAAAGAGACTTTTGTGAAACATTTCAGATCAAAACTAAAGCCCCCTGAAACCACAATGGCTCCTACAACACAAACCCACAAACACCGGGAACAACAACAACAACACAAGCACACTGACATATAATAAACACCCTGCACATGGTATGGTTGGGTTCGATTAATTATCCCTATTCGTAGTAGAAAGGAAACAGGACAAAGCGGGAAGAACTGAATCTATTAGAAGAGTATAAAGATGAGATGTGGAGCTAATGTTACGTGGAACATATAACTGACAAATTAGGGAAAGAAAAGTATTAATAACCGCTCTGTGAAATAACAGAAGTAAAACAAAGAAACAAAGAAAAGCGCTGAATGGTTTTTGTATGCAAATTGGATAATTCTTCTTTTTGCTTCTGTCAAGTTTCCTGCAAAGAATTTGGTTTTAATTATATGTAAATTACAGATTCAAACATGAGTTTCTGGATTATTAGAAATGTTATTCCTCATGTATGTTAAACGGTAAAAGTCATGGATATTTTAATTCTGCACATTATTCTCTAAACCAAATGAAAAAGCAACAACAGGTTCCACGACTGACAGAGGAAGTACAGCAGTGTGACACAGAAGTGGCACAGTGGCTGTTTCTTCACATTGCATCTCAGACATCTACTGTTTTTCTCTCATAAAATGTCGTTCACACACACCGACACCAGGGATTTCAGAGCAATATTGGTTTACAAGCATTCAAAAGGTTCCTGTGTGCAGGAAGTGCCCCAGCGAGTCATTGTGACACGATTCAATGCAGGTCTAGCAGAAAAAAATAAAATAAATAAGAGAAAACACCAGTCTTTGTGTCCCCGGGTGGCAAGCGATGTACACAAGAGCTGGTTGAGAGTGCGGATTGAGATGTACTCTCACAGGGGTCATTGTCGTCAGTGACGGCACCAAGCCACGAGGCCTCCTAATGGACCGCACAGACGGAGCGCCATTAAAGGGACAAGGGGGACGCACTGGGTGGGGTTTGTGGAGAGCAGCATCCAAGAAATATCAATGTATTAATGCTATTTCCATCCCTGCTTATTCCATGTAGGGTAAGCCATATGAAACTATATTTAGACAGTTTACTCCTGAGAAAGCAAACATTAGACATAAAGACTTATTTTCTCTTGTATTCCTTTGTACAAGTATTCAGAGGCTCGTGCGCCTTACAGAAAGGCAAATAAAGCTCACTGCCTGCAGTTTAATTGGGCACTTTGCGTCTTTACATCGGCCTCAAAAGACTGGTGTTTGTTGAAAGAGCCTCGTTAAATGTCCTGAAACCATCAGCTTCAACTCAGATATCCTTCAGGTAATTAAATCTCTGCGCCGGCACTTATTAATAATTTAAAAGAAAGAAAAAGATAATTGACGACAGAGATGTTTAGATGAGAGCGAGAGAGTAGCAGGCAGGAGAAAGGCACAATCAGAGGGAGAGGAGGGATTGTGAGCGGAGAAACAAAGCCAGTAAATGTTGGAGTAACTTTTCATTCGAGCGCGGGAGGGGAAGTCAACATCAGACTTTTTCTGCTCGTTGTATGAGTTTTTTTTTCATTTGTGAAACTATATTTTCAATGATGTAAAACAATACGTTGACTAGATCAAGAAAGACACATGAGAGAGAGAACATCATCTGTTTTTAGGTTTTAATGCACATTTTCAGTTTTTCGCATTTTTGCTAATTGCTACCAGACGAAGACCCACTTTGCATGTCAGCTTCCTCTCTATAGTCTATACCTATTAGGGCTGAGTTCCTGCACAGGTAAGGACCCAAATAACAAAGTACCATTATGTATCAAAACTCACCTACTTAAATGCATGACGATATTTATTGTGTACCCAGATGTAGAAGGAAAAAAAATACAATTTGTATGGATTTGGGTATCAAATGAGTACTCTATTGGTATTGTATCACTTTAAAGGTGCTAGTATTGATACCTGTTATTATTCAAACCAGCCCTAAAAACCAACAACTTCTTTTATATTTAAAAGAATAGTTTGATTGACGTCATTCAAAATACGCTCATTCTCTCTCTGCTGATGGAGAGAAAAGGAAAATATGAAGCGACTGCCAAGAGCTAGTTAGCTTAGCACAAAGCTTGGAAATGCCTTACTCTGTCCAAAGGGAACAAAATATGTCTAGTGTGTTAGATGTACAGTGTAAGAGAGACACGCAGAGGGTTTAATGTGTTTAGAGAGTTTATTCTCTGCTGGATGATATAAAGGCCATTAAGCTGCACTGCTAATGTGATACCACATAATCCCTGCATCTGTGTGTGTGCGTGTGTGTGTGTGTGTGTGTGTGTAAGAGACAGAGAGGGGGGGGATGAGTGAGTGAGGGACACTTTAACTCAAAGATATTGTGTCTATCAACGGATGTGAAGGGCTGCAAGAACAAAGGAAGTTGAAGAATAATTTGCACGTGGAAAGATGCAGCTCTGGATGTCTGCGTTTGTATTTGTGTGTGTGTGTGTGGGGGTGGAGGGGGGGGGGGGGGTACGTCTGTGTGTCGACGGCATAACGATGCAGTGCGTAAAAACAGCAGACAGATAACATATTGCAGCGCGTACGCTTCGAGACACGGCGGGAGAAAAGAACAGAGCGTTCCTTAAATCAGTCCAGAGACTCCAGATATTATGAGGCGGTACACATTCACACGCATGCGAAGACAAAGAGAAGACTGACGAGCCTCCGGGTGCCGCAGAGAGAGAGAGAGAGAGAGAGAGAGAGAGAGAGAGGGAGAGAGAGGAAAGAGTGCAGAAGTCAAAGATTCAAAGGAAACAAATGACAGACGATGACAAAGCTGGAGCGACAGAGCGACAGAGAGAGAGAGAGATGGAGAAGGGATCGCTATAACTGGTTTCACTGCTATTATATTTCAGAAGGGGGAACGGATAACAAGAGGGGACGCAAGCAGAGAAGAAGAAGAGTTAGGACACAGGAGGAGAGTGTGAAAGGAAAGAAGGGAGGGCAGGAAAAAGGAAAGAAAGGGAAAGAAGGAAGGAAATAAAGGGAGGAAAATATAGTATGTAAAGAACAAAAGATGGAGCAGTGAAGGAGCAAGCGAAGATGGAAGGATGGTTCAATAAAAATCAAGACGAGAGAGATTGAAATGAACAAGGAAGGAAAAATAGATAAAGCAGGGAGGGAAAAATACTATTTAAGGAGAAGGAGGCCAAGAAACGATCCAGGACAGAAAGGAGGAAACAGTGAAGCATTCAAGGAGGAAAGGAAGGGTGGACGATGCAGGAAAACATGTCAATGCAGAAAATAAATGGGACTTTTACCTCTTTTTTCTTGATTCTAGAAACAACAGTTGAGGAAACAATCTCACTACATGGTGCAGTTAGTGCAGCTCTGCTGGTGTTTCTCAGAGCACGCCAGGACCTTTTGGTCCAGCCTTTTCATTTTAAAGCAGAGTTGTCGTGAGATTTCTTCTCCTCACTGCTTTTTACAAGGTCAATAATGTACAGCCTTTATTCCAGCACTCAATAAAGTGCTCTATAATACCACGACAACTGGGCGAAATCCATCTGCTTTTGAAGGTCATGCGATATCAGCGAAAACACAAGAATGTCTGGTGAATCTAGACCTCTCACCTCCTCGTGAGATTGCTTTTCCTGGATTAACATTTAAATGACAAGAAGCAACATGATCTAAATTACAGGAAATCAGCTCAGTTGGCGTGAAAAGAAATGGCATTGTTTGTTTCTGCAAACTATGGATATGTTGAATGTGATTGTTTTTGCATTTGGTTAGAGCAAGTGACGAAGTATATCGAGCTACATCGATTGAAAGTTTCGTGGTATACTAACGGGTATAACAAACAAACAAAAATGCCCACTAAACGTGGGACGGAGTGGTGGTGGAAAGGTCAAACAAACACAGGACTTTCACCTAGGAGGCCGCTCTTAGTGTTAAAAGTAAACATTGACTTCATAAAACATTGTTACAGTTGTTACATAACAGGGGGGTTGTTATTTAGTTACGGTTGTTATGTTGTTAAGTTACGTTGTTACCTCACGTTGTTGCGTTACATTGTTACCTCACGTTGCGTTACATTGTTACCTTACATCGTTATGTTACTTTGTTATCTTACATTGTTACGTTGTTACGTTTCGCTGTTACATTAAGTTGTTGCTGGAACACGTTGCGGTTACATTACATTTTTGTTATGTTACGTCGTCACGTTACGTTGTTACCTAACATTATTACGTTGCGTCGTTTGCTTACGTTAATTTTTTACGTTACATCATTATGTTATGGCATTACCTTACGTTATATCATATTACGTTGTTGCATTACATTGTTACTTTGTTACTTTACATCGTTACGTTACATTGTTAAGTTATATTGATATTATTATTATTTTAACACAAACCAGGATGTTTTTGTTTCACCCTAACCAAGCAGTTTTGCTGCCAAAACCAAACAATCATTTCCCAATGTTAATCACGTGGCATTGTGCAAGTGTATACGAGGCTGATATGAAAAGTATTTATGAAAAGTACGTTTGTTTCAGATATGTTGACATTCAAGGTATCCCGTAGTTTGCAGGAAACGTACAATGCCAACAATTTCTCCTGGTGACTGTGTTGGGAAACACACATTAGAGTACATTTACATACCACTGCAGCAAGACGCAGGCTGCAACATGCCTCAACTGTGGTCTCCCAGTTAATTTAACAAAGACACACTGAGATTTAATTAGTGCCTTTAAGTCCCACTGTGCAATTTGTATTCTTAACCCCATGGGGAGTGAAGAAAGGATGGAGGGAGAAGGAAAGGGAATAAGGAGGTGAAGATGTGAACGGGGGGGTAAATTGGGAAAATTACGCTCAGATTCAATAAGTGAGGCAATGAAAACGGAGCATTTTTCATTGCTACGTGTACAAAAAGAAATAAATACACACTCGTAAACAGGAATGTACAACCACTGAACCATGCATCACACACACA